TTCTTCTGGAACTTCAGCTTCGTTAAGAATATGGTTTAAATTATTTTGCAAAAAATTTAAATACTGAGCACCATTCAGCCTTGCTGGCATTTCATGCAGCACCAACTGCTGGCCAATTATACCAGCCCACATGTTAATACCAAACAGATTCTGGAATCGATCATTTCTTATGATATGGGGGTTTACTCTGGAGTAAAAATGTAGATTGTGGATATTGAATACTCCCATTCTTCTAAAAGTTGACTCATCCGTCCATAAAACCTTGTTAAAGAACTGCGGATCTTCTCTGTGATATCTTAGCATCTCTCTACAAAACCGCACTCTAGGTTCATAGTCACCGGGCATCAAAGCTTGCACCCTTTGCACGTGGTAGGCGTGATATTTTTTTCTGTTAATGACACGTTGCACCGTCGATCCTGGAATCCCGATATTACTGGATATTTGGCGTTGACTTATACTAGGATCCAATCTTAATTCTCTCAGCACTTCATCTTCATTTTCAAATTGCATCACTGGTCTGCCTACTCTCATAGCATGCTGACCGGGTAAGACTCCCTCCATGTACGAATTATGTACGCGCATAAAGACCCTGTAATCCGGAAAACGATCACGGTGAGGGTAGCGTTGACGATATTCCCTGGCAGCAGCCCGGGCATTACCGTCGCAAAAGCCATACAGGTAATGCATTTCTGCATACTCCCGTTGGGTGTATTCTCTCCTCGCAGCAGCCATCTGTCCACTTTTGTAGCCAATCCGTCCGATTCACACAGCACTGGTCACAGGTAGGCAATCTATCACAAGTCCGAAAAACAAAGTGTAGGTCAAAGGAAAGAAACTGGTCACAAGTCGTCGTAAAACCGAGAAAAAGAACACGTGCGTACCCACAGGCAGGAAGCGAGTTACTAAAGAACACTAAACATTCTAAAGAAACATGCTCACGCGCATCCCCCAGCCCCCCCCCCTGCCGGCCCAGCCTTTTGTTTCCTAGAAAAGATATCGCTACCTGAACTGACGGGCCAACCAGCCTTTTACTGACAAAGGATTAAATAGTTAGTGTAAAAGAGAGGCAGAGAGTCTTTGTCATTAATTGTATTAATTCTAGTTTATTTTTAAATAAGCCTAACCGAGTTTTATGGTTGGGTTAACTTTGGCCTTGCCATGAATAATCGTCCTAAAAAAGATATCAAAGCCACGCATAACCATGTGTAATACCTTTTCAGAATCCCTATTAAATGCGCCAAAACTTGTAATACAGGGTCACTTTTCGGTAGAGTATTTTTTTTTCACAGTGGGGTCCGAAGTAAATAAAAAGTTATGATTTGAGAAAAATAATAATCGTAAAACTTAACATTATCTTCAACACACCCAATAAACAACCATAAATAGCATGTCTAACGCAAGGACTCATCAGTACCAATCTAGTGAAAATTATAAAAAAGATAGAGGATGTTTATTTTTTGGCATTCTAATAAGAATTAGTTAAAAAAAGTCAATTTTCTCATAAAAACACGAAATAAATTATAACTCTGCAGGGGTTGACTTTAAGGACCTCCCGTAGAACAACTTTTTGCAGCTGATGACCCCATCTAATCCCTAGTTGCGTTTGATCCACGACTTTTGGGCCACCCTGTATATATATATATATATATATATATATATATATGTTTTGTCCGTATAATAGCCAGCTAACGAGATTTTTATTCAAAAAAATTGAACAGAGGGTCTTCTGTACCCTTAAACAAATCAGAGGCTTAGATTTATAAAAATCCAAATAAAAATATTATAGTATTTTTTTTCTAATTCTAATGTTTTCATTAACTTTCTATGGTTCTAAAACAAATATTTCGTACGCTACACTAGTTATTGGAATAACAAGATTACTAAACAGAACGACAGGAATTAGTTCAATAAAACACACGAATATATACCTTAACGGTATAATATTATTTGTTATTTTTGACACGCTTATTTAAAGTAAATGTTTAAAATTAGCTCTTCTTCTCCCTAATCTTCGTTTAGGCCTGGCTACGTATCAACCGTAATTGTTCAATAGACGTGTATTCGTACTTTTATACACCAGCTCTTTGCAACACCCCCAGATGAAACAACGGCTTTAGTTGCTTTCTGAGGCACGGGGATAAAACATCGCCAACTTTCTAACTCTGGAAGTGGACGGTGTTTTACCCACGATAAGTGAACTAAATAACCGATTTGACCCGACCCGGAATTTTAACCCAGGACCTCATGATCAAAGTCAAAGCATAGACAAACAAACTTAACAGTTCTATTTCGATTATTTGAGGACTACTAGTTCTTAAAAATTTAATAAATTATTTTTCGATGATATACAGAAGGAGAAAGGAGATGAAGTTGCCTACTAAAACATGCTGAATACTTCAGAAGGATTTTGATTCTATTTCTTCTTTTTCTATTTCATCTATGGTTGCCCTTATAGTCATATTAACCACACGAAATTATAACCTCCTATACAGCAGTATGCAGGCACCCCAAACCCATTTGATTATTACCTTTGGTATAGTCCGATGTATTAAACGATATTTTAACCAAAGGTGTCTAGAAAATAATTAAAGAGTTTTTTTTTTTGTTGAACACATAATGACTAAGATGAATAAAATAACAAAACATTTTCACTGCTACAGAAACACGCGATGGAAGGGTAACGACGAAACAGCAATGAACACGATATGAATACATAAACAGAAAAATTTAATGACGCCCTCCTTGTTTGGATAAACCTTGATCATATGCTCTCTTTGACGATATATAAAATCTATTTTTTCTTCCCAAAAAGTAACTTTATATTAGTATAGAACCTTCATCACTATACTACTGTTACGAGCTTAGGGTTCGTGACAATAAAAACTGCCGATTGATTTACCAAAATTGACACTTTAAATACTGAACACCAATTAAAACTTAAAAGACACTAATAATTAATCCAGTGATTCACTTTATTTCGCTCCGAAGCTTCGCTCGTATCGCCAATTCAATACTGCCCCGATCGCGGCTTGCAGCGGCTTTAAAACACCTTTCACCGAAACATCCAGAATATTCCGGCAAATACGGGCGCTGACCGACCAGGCGCAGAAAGTTCGAGTGTGGGACTTCTAGAAATCTTAATTCTTTCATTTGTTACTAGATGGCGCTGTTGGGAGAGTTCCAGAAAGATTTCACACTTCTGTTTCTGATACTTGATACCAGATGGCACTAGTGCAATCAATTGTGGCGCGCAACACTACTATCATGTGCATAGTATCAATATTTATGTTTACTATTTAGTATTTCAGTTTATATGGTTAAAGTAAATAAAATCTTCAGAGCAATTTTTGTATGGCGATTGATTCCAGAACGATGAACAATTGTCAAGGTTCTATTTATATCTAAGGCTGGTAGAAAGGATTACACTTTACCTAATTCCTTCAGACCCATAAGCCTATCTTCCTTTCTTCTTAAGATACTGCAAAAGGTTACACATGGATAATATAGAATGTAGCTCTAGCTATGAAGCCCATACATTACAACCAGCATGCTTACCGCAGAGGTAAATCTTCGGAAACAGTCCTGATCGGTGTTACTAAGAGGGTCGAAAAAGAACTGGAGGATAAAGTAATAGCCCTTTGTACCTTTCTGGATATCGAGGACGCCTTCGATAGTAGCCCCACATCACTGCTGATTGAGGGCCTGACATCGGAAAATGTTAAATCCACAACCATCAGGTGGGTGAAGTCGATGCTCTCAAACAGAAAGGTAAAAATAGCGCTGTTTCAAACTTCGATTGAAGTTGCAACTACAAGAGGCGGTCCACAAGGAGGTGCTTTGTCAACCTTTCTTTGTGCTCTTGCAGTTGACCAACTATTGTACAAGATGGCAGACGTTAGCATTGGCACACTAGGTTATGCTGATAACCTTGTTATCATTGCGAGGCGCTTTTTCCAAAGTAATTTATCATTAATCATACAAACCCTAAACACCATAAATAACTTGTGTAGGGATAACAGTTCATCAGTTAATGCTAATAAAACTGTTAAAATACCCTTTAGCAAAAAGAGACGGTTGGACAAATTAGTTACACCAAACTCAATGGTAAAAGAGTACCATTCTACAGTGAAGTTAAGTACTTGGGCGTAACAATCGACCAAAAACTAACGTGGAACTCTCACCTAAGCAAAGTATGTCATAAGGCAAAAATTGCTTTAGGTGCGTGCAGTCGTTTGGTCGGGAACAACTGGGGCTCACGTCCCAGTATGATCCCATAGCTGTAAGAAGCATGGTGACGCCGATTCTCACATACGCTTCCACTGTCTGGTGCAACAAGGTCTACGAAAGGATGACTTCGGGCAGACTGAATAGTCTACAAAGGACTGTCTGCTTAATGGCTACCTGAGCTATGTGATCATCGCCTGGAGCGACTCTTAATGCAATTTTATGCCTAACGCCCCTTGATCTTTATCTAGACAAAGAAGTGAGGGCTAGTTTGTATACGATTAATGCCCGGGGCGGTTTGTGCTTGCTGTTCTACAGATTGAGATCCATGTTCGACTAAATTAAGGAAACACTGGTTTTATGTCTGATTTCAGATATCATGCGTCCACTACACACATTTACACAAGACAATAGGATGTTATTTGAAATTGGAGGTACAACTATTTTTGTTTAACATACACTTGATATTGTAAAACTGATTTTTCAAATGAATTATAAATTAGCGGCAATTGAAGTAAAATCGTATAAATTAGTTGTAATTTGTTTATATAGACCTTATTATGATTATTTAATAGTCGAATATATTATGACTAAAGTTATCGAAGAAATAGGTAAGGAAAACAAAAGAATTGTAATTACAGGAGATTTAAATTTAAACTATTTTAACAAATTTAAATAACTATTGAGTGAATTGAAAGATACATTTGTCTTAAATGAGCCAACCCAAACCAAAGATAAGTCTACCACATGTATTGATAATTTCATCTTAAATGACGATGATGATTTTCAGTACCACAGAGGTAAAGTTATCAGATCATAGCGTCAAAGAACTAAAGTATAAGTTGAATTCTAAGTATCCCAAACGAAAGGAGAAGACTGAGGTTAAATCTCGAATAACATCCCAGGAAAATATAAAATATTTTCATTTCATGTTCTGTAATGACTTTGAATGTGTAAGAAAGGATATAAACTTGAAACTTGACGCAAATGAGAAAAGAACGGACCATATATAATATTGGTATTACACGGAATTTCCATTAAAAACCAAAATTTTCCAACCAAAGGTATTTTGATATTTATAAATAATCTTCAAAACTCGAAATATTACATCACTTGTATGGAGGTAAAATTAAAAAACCTAAACTACATAAACATAGGAAAATATATAGAAAAGTACTTCACACAGCTCAGAAACTTAGGAACGAATTTAGTATTAAAAGTTCCACGAATAAAATTAAAACTCCTTGGACAATTATTAAAGAACAAAAAAATCAAGTAAAAACACAAGGAATAAATAAAATTACTAAAATTAAAAATCACAGTGGAGGCATAATCACAAATAATAAAAATACAGCAAATATTTTCAATGAGTTCTTTTGCAATATAGCCGGTAAACTTACGGAAAATTTAGAGATTAAGGTTGAATTAATTAATTAAATTGAAGCGAATATTTAATAAACCTCACAAAAAATAAAATTCGCCTTCCTAAAATAAGTAAATCCGAATTTTGCAATATTATTAATAGTTTAAAATGTTAAACATCAAGAGACATATACAATATGTCAACAAAAACTATTAGGGAACTTATCATCAACAACAAAGACATGTTTGATATAACATTGGAAGTTTTGAATGATTGCATCACAGAAAGGATTTTCCCCGATAGCTTAAAAACAGGAAAAATCGTGCCACTTTTCAAAAAAGGAGAAACTACTGAAATCTGGAATTACAGACCGGTGTGTATATTACCAGTTATATCAAAGATTTTGGAAACTACCTTAAAATCTAGGATATTAGACTACTTTGAAAAAAATAATCTATTTACAGACTGTCAATTTTGGTTTCGCATAAAAACATCAACAATCAACTTTATATTGGATGTTTTGGATAGATCGCAGAAGGTATCTAGCATTTTTTGCGATTTATCCAAGGCTTTCGATGGTTTGTTGGCATGAAATCTTAATTCATAGACTAAAATTTTACGGATTTATACGAAAGGAATTGAGTATAATGCAGTTGCATCTTAACAATTATATGCAATTAGTTAATGTAAGCAATACTAAGTCTCATACACAACCTAGTTATATTGGCGCACCGCAGGGCTTTATCCTGGGACCATTGCTGTTTTTAGTATACGTGTACGACCTTGCAAATAATTTAGCTGACTTCACGGTTCACGCAGTCTCCAAGTAGCTTCGAGTTCACTATGTTTCGCCTCATTGCTATCAATGCTGTTTGACTATCAGAGTTTATATAAATTATATGGTTGACGTAGTGCTTTTGCAGATTGATTTCCGCACACCGAAGTATGGCGAAAATTTCTGCCTGGAAGATAGAGGTGAATCTACCCAAATTCATGCTAAATTTTAATTTGGGGCGTACCCCATAAATTCCAATGCCTACGTCGCGTCGAGGCCCATTTTTGAGACCCATCGGTATACCATACGAGGCTACCGACCTTACAGATGACCTGGCTATTGATTTATATACTATTTATTTATTGACATTTCGTTACATTACATAAGATTGATACGTCAAAATTACAATTCAAATTATATAAGATTTCGTCAGATTTTTAAAATTACAAATTAAAATACATCTCATTTACATTTATATTATTTTATATGGCTAGCAAGTCAGAAAATGAACATTTCATATATTCTTCTATAGTATACGAAGCGTGATCAAAATAAAAAGTGTTTTTGTTACTTGTCAAAACGCCTTTAATGGAAGTATTGTAATTTCTAAAGGCAATTTGGTGCCCGAGCCTCACAGCAGCTCTGACTTCAAGGTCGCGGATGCCGTCGATGAATGTCTGCACCAAGTTCCCTTCAATGAGCGCAGGTACAGACCGGTATGCTTTTCGCACCAGCTTCTCCACCTCTAGAGCCCACTGCTGCAGGTTTTCATTGATGCGCTGCACGCGATCTTTAAGCTGCGCGCGAAAGACGTGTTCCAGGTAAGCGTCGCCACATCTCGCCTCCAATGCCTCAAAGAGTTGCTCATAAGTCACTTCCTCACCGAGAGCTTCCAGAACTGTTAAGGCCTGGTCGCGCAGGCCTAGTGTGAGAGCAGTCATGACGCCTTCATAACGGCTTCAAACCGGAAATTGTAGGCTGACCAGGAAGAAGACCCGTCGAACGGTGGCACTTTGAATCCACGTAGCAAAGGTGTTGTAGCTACTATGGGAGCTGTAATTCCATCCCCCAGTTTGAGGTCGTCCAGCGTTTTCTTAACGTCAGCCATCACGTTGTCAACCTCGATTGTTCACTTGGTCGATTCGGGATTCAGCCTTCTCGATTCGGGTTTCAGCTTTCGCGATTTGGGTTTCAGCTTCCGACAGGCGGTTGTCATGCTGAGCAACCCTATCCTTCACCTCCTTTATCTCCTTCCCGAAGGTAGCGTGAAGGTCCTTCATGAGGAGTATCTGCTCTTCCTGTCGGCGGGCCTATTCTTCCTGCTGCTCTTTCAACCAACGGGCCTATTCCTCCTGTCGTCGGGCCTGTTCCTCCTGTCGTCGGGCCCGTTCCTCCTGTCGGCGGGCCTGTTCCTGCAGCATCACCATCAGAGCACCTAAGTTAGGTGCTGCAGGTATAGGAGCTGCTGATGGGCCAGCCTCCGTGGCTGGCACTTGGTCCTCTGACGTCTGCTCACACCACCAAATCGTCTCTGGTCCGTCTCCTACTGGCATTGACTTCGGGTACGGACACCCTCCGTTTCCTCCTTAGGTAAAATCGGCATGATTTTATCCCACTTATGATACCAATTGTTACGAGCTTAGGGTTCGAAATAAAAACTCCGAGAATTACCAAATTTACACTTTTATTGCCTAACACCAATTAAAACTTAAAACACTAATAATTAACCACACTGATTCACTTTATTTTCCGAATCGCGTCTCGCCAAATTCAATACGGCATGGCATGTCGTTTAAACACACTTTTACGCAGAAACATCCAGAATATTCCCGTAGATACGGGCGCCGACCGACCAGACGCAGAAAGTTTGAGTGTGAGGCTTCTAGAAAGCTTAGTTCTTCAATTAGATAATAGATGGCGCTGTTGGTTAAAAGATTAGTCATGTCATTTTCTGGAAAGCTCTCCTCGCTCTGTTACCCGACACTAGATGGCGCTAGTGCCAGACGTCAACTTAGGCGCGCAACAATGATTTAATTATACAATAATATGTTTTTTTTTTCAAATAATTTTGATAATAAAAGGATGAAGTAAGAAAGTTAATAATATTATAAAACTTTGACCGACCCAAACGCACTAAAGTGCGTAGCGTAATATTAGTAACTTTTTTTAAAACTTATTTAAGAAAAGTAAAAGTTAAAGTTTTGTTTATTGTCAATTTATGGTAAAAAATGGCTAATCCAAACAGGTGGTTGGGGTGCCATTTTGTGACGATGAAACAGTCATCAATTGTCATTTCGTGCGCATAGACTACGTTCTCCTGTCAAAATAAAAGTTCATTTAGAACGCTATGATATAATTTTAAAACTTATAACATTTTTAAGGGAAGCTAAAAAAATGATAACTGGGATAACGTCATATTCATTGACGAGACATAGCTAAATGCCAATCACACGCTTTCCTATTCTTGGACAGATGATACACAAGCGTCTACGTCGAAAGTGCCAATAGGTAAAGGGTCCCGGCTTATAATATGCCACGCCGGTTCTGCAAAACGGTTCTATGGTATCGCAGAGAACGGCTTACTTGTATTTGAATCAAAAACCACAACTAACTACTACAAAGAAATGAAGGGAAAACGAATTTAAAAAGTGGTTCCAGAATGTGCTATTTCCCAGCCTGCCAGAGCCTTCTGTAATATTTATTAAATCCTGTAATATAAAAACACCTATTCAAGTCAATAGAAAAAAAGAATTTGTGGCTTAGCTACAAACGAACGGCACTGACGCAAATATACAAATGCCAAAAGCAGAACTAATCAAATTAATTAAAGACAAAAGTGAGTTATGAAATAGATGAATTGACTCTGAAAACTATCATCCATTCTCAGACTCCCTCCCTATCATTTCTAGTCTGCGGGAAAGTCACAAAAGATGACTGAGCGAAGGTCTGTTGGCTGTTTTTAAAAAGTTCAGGCTTCAAGTAAAATTTAAAACTGCTTGATATTGCATTAATCTAATTTGAATTAAAAGTCACTCAAGTTTTTTAACTATAATTATATATTTAAAAAAATTAGTAATTCATGTATCAACATAATATTGAAATCGTCTTTATTGTGACATACCTACCATTTGTTGCTCTTTGTGAATAGCTAATGACTCGGAACATAGGATACATTGTTACGTTGTAAGAATATTTAAATGTAGACAGGACTGACACATCATATGCAGGACAGAACATGAGTCACTTATGTGACTTAAAAAATTATACTTGTTAGTTTTTATAGATTAATAATCTTTGCATTAATGAGAAAGATTTAGACATAGAGCAGATTTAGCATCAAATTCATACTTCCTATTATAGTCAATTAAGAAACATTCTATGAGCGGGTATTTTTTACATAATATTATATTGCAACTTTTGCAGACATTTTTATTATAGACATTTTGAATAAAATTTGATATTTAATTTTTTATATTTTTATTATTCTATATTATTCTTATATTTTCTATTTATATTATCCTACTCCTCCATAATCGTCGTATAATTTTGAATTGCTAACTTATACAAAATTAATAAATATAAACTTCCAGGCCGGTCACTCCGAGAAGTAGGCAGTCACAATTGACTTTTATTTGGTATAATCCTGATATACTCTCTCTTTTCTTTCACATCCATAAATCTACGCATACGAGCTCGTCGGTTAAGGGTACTCTTCATTTGGCCTATCTCGACTTATATTAATATAATGCCAAGTAGCTTATTACTAATAATTATTACTCGTGTCCTTCATGACATGTGACAGTCCTGATAATCTTTCCGTTTATCTATTCTAAAAAATCCACCCCAAGGTGGATACCCGGAATCGCCTGTTAATTAATCCATTAAACAGTCGTCTGACCGAAGATTATTTAGTAGGCATTCGCATACTTATAAAAGTACATACATACCTCTTGTTTAAAGGTCAAAACTAAAATGCTTTTAATTCTTCCATTACCTATCATTCGATGTGACATAATTTACGTCATTTTAGAGATATTTTATGATGAAAGAAACGTTTCGCTGCAATTCATTTCAATTATATTTTATTGAAGCAGATATTTAATTAAAAATAAATATATTTTAATTATATAAACACAATAATGGAAATAGTACGGTACTTACCAAATTTTAAAATGTCTTATTTAGCGACAAATATATACAGGATATACAATTACGTCTACTCAATAATGAAATTAGTATTGGTCATTTTCTGGAGATATTGCAGAATTTATAAATTACTTATTACTAAATAAAACAAGGAAGTTTAATTTGGTTTTATATGTAATACGTAATGTAGCGGCGCTGTCGTCGCGCCACAAGCGAAAACACACCGAAGCCTAAATCGCGCTATCAACATTCCGAATCACAAACAGTATATATAGAACTTCTCCGAACTATCACAAGGAGTGTTGGCCGCTCCCCGGGCAGAACACCTTGCCCGGCGGGAGATCTCCCCTTTTCCTTCCTCACCGGCCACAGTGGTGACCCCGACGTGATCTGAACACGCAACCAAACAACCTTCGGAAACTTCAAGCTTCATCATCGTCATAGAATACCCATTCGCTCCCGAGCAGATATCGTCTGCAGTCTTCATATCCTGCAAGCCATCTAGCTTCACAAGGTTCATCGCAGCACTGGAATAATAATGCTTCCTGTTCCTTCAAGCTACTCTCTGCGCTATACAGTGTTCGGCACGGCTCTGAGCCTTACTGCTCGCCTCTGCTTCACGGCACTCTCGCAGATTACTTGCCTTCTTCTCGACTCACCGCAGACTACAAGGCAATCTCCTGGCACTTGCACATTCGTTGGCAACGAGGCTGCACTATCGACCTCCGGTCTGAGCAAGGGGGTGATGTAGCGGCGCTGTCGTCGCGCCACAAGCGAAAACACACCGAAGCCTAAATCGCGCTATCAACATTCCGAATCATAAACAGTATATATAGAACATCTCCAAACTACAAGGAGTGTTGGCCGCTCCCCGGGCAGAACACCTTGCCCGGCGGGAGATCTCCCCTTTTCCTTCCTCACCGGCCACACGTAATATGATTTTTCTTTAAGTTTGTGGTTATTAAAAATTAATAATTTGTTAAAGTATGAATATATTTTCTGTTGAACTGTACTTGAGGTGGAAAGGTCGCAAAACAATCAAAAAGTGATTTCCGACACCCTAAGCAGGGTGTATAAACAAACACGCATTTCCGAGTGTCCACCCTAGGGTTGATTTCTTAGGATGGATAAACGAAACAGCCCGAAAATTCCAACAACGTTACAATGTACCCTAGCTGCCGAGTCATTAGCTTTTCGCAAAGAACAATAAACGGTAGGTTCAACACATAAGATTTCAATATGTTGATATACGAATTAACATAGCTTACTTAGAAAACTTGATAGTCTTTTAACTCAAAGTGGAATAATACAATATCTAGCAGTTTCAAATTCCTTTCTGAAGTCTGAACTTTTTTACAGCCCCATTACACCTTATAACATGTACAAGGTGTAAGTGTAAACACCGTTGTCACTAAAACCATAGGTAGTTGGCTTTAATATAATAATATTTATCAGAATTTAAAAAAAAAACGCTATTTTCTTTCATAAAATTTAAAAAGTTTCTCTCCGACATCGTCCGTAAATTCATAGATACCCTATGCGTCCAAGTGACGTAATCACTGTAAAGATCACCGCCCGCCCTAGCTACCTACACAACATTTCAATAAAAACACAATAGGTACACATAACCTGCGGTGTAACTTTTCCTTCATACTTTCATCTTGGCTTAGGCCAGGCATAAATTGAGAAATTAACAAAAAATTTCGATTTTACTAAAAAATGTTGTTATTTTTCATTGAATTTACGTTCTATAAGTGAAACTAAACCACTGGTTTCAAGGATAACGGTGTTTACACCAACACCCTGTATATTTTATCTATTGTTTGTTATCTGTAATATATCACGAATATAATCGATAAATTTCCGTCTAGGGCATTCCTTATCGACTCTGCCACTCTTTCTATAGCGTAAATTTGCTTTGTCACTTTTTCCGCGGATATTGTTCTACCTGCCGAACCAATGAAGTATTCTTTTCTTAATTCTGGTCACAACATCGTTTTGGAAACTACACTTTTCTCATATTACATAATTTGTCACACTATCATTTAGAATCATTTCATTTGCTTTTTATGCTTCTCCTTCTACCTTTATCTATCACTATAATACATTAAGGTGAGGTACAAACATACACATTTTGAATAGCAACACGTGAATTTTTTAACACTTTCTGATTTTCCACATTAGTATGAAGAGATCTATTTACTTAATATCCTGCATTCACTCTTCATTCTATAACCCTGTTATATCCACCTACTAAACACACTTTTTAATTAGACTAACTTATTTATTTGCTCAACCAACTCCCTTTCAATTCTTATTTCACATATTACTTTTTTATCTTTCAAAATCCAGCACTTTCGTCTTACATGCAATCACTAATTCCCATTATTTTAATGTCATTATGTCTATTATTATTACCGTCATCTATCAATTATGCAAATATGGCATGTTGTCAGCATACAAAAGGAATATGACAGTTAACTCATTAATTCTTATACTATAGAGGACCACTTAAGTTTTTGCGTGATTTTAAAGGGCAAGATACAGTTAAGGATCATAATATGTCAAACAGTCATAAACAATAATATTTTTATGCCTTGAAAGCAGTTTGAGTAAAGTGGGGCGCAACCAAGAGACAAAAAAAAATTTGCCATTTCTCACTTTTGATCAACAGACGATTGTTTTTGTGTGTTAGTCGTAGAAAATGCTTAAAAAAATCCAGTAAGTATTGTTTGGTGTTCAGTGACATATATTTGAGAGTTTTACACGATCTGAATGTATCTTACTTATCATAAACATTGTCTTTATAATTTTAACAATTACTTGAACTATGTGGTCTATATACGATCATTGCCCATTGCGCACCTTGATTTGTAAGATATATTTTGACGATATTTCTTGTTTTTTTAGCCCCGGCCGCTGAAAGACATTGAAGCTCGTCTTCAAAGCCTGCTGTCATCAGAAGGTGAAGATACTGGCGATGATGAATTAAATGAAAATTTTTCTGACATCGTGAACAAAACGCTAGATAGATTACAAAATATCATTACTGAAGAGCTCCTAGATATAGCTGGTAATAAAAACGAAGCACCATCTCATTTCTCTGCCGAGCTTGTAACTGAAACAGATTCAGAAAGTCAATTAATACAACTTGAGGGCCTAGGGATTGAAGGTTACAATATGGGTGTATTATAGTTATAGTTATACTGGCACAGTTGCCAATATTTTTATTGCACCACCATCTTCAGTTCAACCACCACCTCCAGTTCGACACCCATCTCCGTTTCAACCACCATCTCCAGTTCGACTATCATATCCAGTTCAACCACTATCTCCAATTCTATCATCATCTCCAGTTCAATTCATTTATTGATTCATTCATAATATTGATTCAGGGCAAGGTACCAATAGAGACCACAACATATTTACTACTTAGGTCTAAGTACTTATATGGAACACAGGCTTTTTTATAAAAATAAATAAATAAAAGTACATAAAAAATGTGGTTTTGTTTCTTTATTTTTATATAAACAAATTTCTAAATTTCTCAAATATCACTCAATAAAACCCACTTGATTACCCACATTAATTTCAACTATAAAAGTCCATCAATTTATTTCATAACTCATTTAATCCTTAGGAACATCCTAGTATACAGTTTTCTAAGCAGGCTGATTCGACAGAAGTTATTACAACTCTTTAGTCGCTAGTTCGTGTAGCCATACTCCCTACACATACTGCTACACACATACCTGGTAGTACAGCTTTTCTTTGCTTTATAGCTTTTTGCTTTAAAATTTTTAATTTGTTCTCATTATCCTAACATAACGTATTATTACTCCTTTCATTATTTCTCTATTGTATTAGTAAATCTATTTTAATTTTATTGTGTTCTGTTCTCCTAAGTGCGCTTTAAGCCATTCAGACACTGTATGGTATATCGTTAGAAGAATCACTTTAAACCCAATAACGTCACACGGTTCTAATTTTACAACATAAACTTTTGCTTAGTACAACATAAAATAAAGCACTTATATAAATAGTATAGTATATAAAGAGTGTTTCAACAGAATTAATCGCATGTATTTGACAGATTGTACCAGATTCTGCTTTGAGGCAATTTAAGGCCGAGGCCTAACGTTCGACTTGAGATGGCTGTAATGATGATGATAATATGGAACTACCTCTACGATATGATACAGAGCATTATTGTATGTACAAGAAACTGAAAACCTAATTCATTATTACGTGGTAGAGCCCCGCTGTAGCTATATTATAGTTGCAGCACGAATAGTTGTTTGGTAGGATCATGCTCTCACAGAATACCAGCGCAAAATAGTAAATTAATGCTGCTGTGTTTCGTATGATAAGTGTAAAGAATCGAAGACCCCTTTTACTGGAATCGAAGCATTCCAACTTAGTCTACGCAAATGCATTTTGATTATTAATTGAGGACAAATATGGATATCCATGGGCCACTGCATCCACTTACCATCAGGTGGACTGTGTGCTCGTTTGTCACCCAATGCTATAAAAAAACACATATATTCCATCACTAAGAGCCACTCAATATGCTTATAAAATATACAAATATGCTAAAGGTTAAAGTGTAAAGAGAATAAAAACTAAACTCATCGCTACAGCGTACTCCCAATGGATGGCGTTATATTCCTATGAAAAACGCAAGCTACGCTCCGTTACATATTTACAAACGGGGCCCGAAGCCCCGGAACAATTTACATTTTGTATAAATACTGAAGATCCAGCACGTTGGTAACGCCTTGTTTAAATTGGTATACTATACTATAATCTTGCCTGGTCGGTCCGATTTTCGGTATAATTTACTAATAAAATTTAAACTGATAAAAATTAAAAGCTGACTTCAAATAACTATATATAATAAAATAATACTGACATAATATCAGGTATACTTCAAAACCTGAAAACTAGATTGTACAACCAGTACGTGTTGCCAGTGATGACCTATGGATCTGAGACGTGGTCCTTCACTGCTGGCCGTATGAGGACGCTCAAGGTCGCTCAGCGAGCTATGGAGAGGGCTATGCTCAGAGTTTCTCTGCGTGATAAACGTAGAAATGGGGATATCCGCAGTAGAACCAGAGTGACCGGCATAGCCCAACGGATTAGTAAGGTGAAGACGCAATGGGCCGGTCATATAGCTCAAAAAACCGACAACCGATGGGGAAAAAAGATTCTCGAGTGGCAGCCTCGTACCGGTAGACGTAGTGTAGGGCGACCCTCCACTAGATGGAGTGACGATCTGGTAAGGCATGCAGGAATTCAATGGATGGAGGTGGCTCAGGACAGTGCTTTGTTGCATTCCTTTTGGGACGGAATACTCAATACTCAATAACTTTATTGCATTCCATAGGTTTCAAAAGGTGTTACATATTTTTATGGTATCTTTATAGACCCCCATGGGCACAGCAATATTATGAAGGAGGAACATTTATTTTGTTTTATTATTATTATTGCTAAATAATTATTTAATATTAACATTCATCATATTATATAAACATACACACATTGAATATGGATTGCGGGTATTATAATTGTTATTATTTATTTATTGATTTTAACGTTTGATATATTATTATAGGTAGCACAATTGAATTTTTATTAAATTATTTGAATCATTTTACATTTTATTATAATTTTTTATTGTAATTTATTTAGCAGGATGGCATTTCCTTATTACCTAACATTTATATTTATATCTATATTATATTATATTTTTATCTTCTAAAAATTCAGAAGTACTATAGTAACACTTGTTGAATGATGACGATGATGATGATAATGATTGACATTATAGCCTCGGAAGTCGGTTACCACAGAATAAATAATAGTATTCGGTACTAAGAAATAGTATATAGATTAACGAAAAATTTAGTATAACCTATATACAATAAGGAATCACTAAAACCGGTTCACAAACCATGAATACAAAACAACAAAAGAAATACAGTCAAAATAAAAACTTTTTGAAATCGGCTAAATATGAATTGAGATACTATTAAATCGCAATCAAATAAAAAAGTAAAAAGATTAATATCGTTATTTTATATCCTATATTATTGTATGAGCGAGATTTGTTATTTGTTTGATTGTTTGTTTATAATCACGTTCTTGAAAACGGCTTTAACGTAAGGGTGTATGGGGGCGAAAAAACTATCTAGCTAGTTCTGTTTTCTGGGAAAATGCACTTTCTTCGTATTTTCATACACAAAACAACAAACTCGGCTTGTATGCGCAATATGAATTGTAATTGCGCCAAAGAGTTTGTCTTCCTAGTAGTTCAAATCCAGCAATTTGGTCAGTTCTTTAGTACGAGGGTGACACTGCAAGTTCTTAGAAAATCAAAAACTGAACAAACTAGCAAGTTATTAGTTTTATTATATCTATTCAAAATAGTGTCCATTTACATCGATACATCGCTGCATCCGATGGAATCACTGAGAAAAACACTTTGCCCACTCGTCCTTAGCGGTCTCTTCGACGGCATTTTGAAACGCAGCCACTGCTTTCTGGGCGTCCATAAAACGTTTTCCTCGAAGTTTTTCTTTTATTTTCGTAAAATTATTAAAATCGCAAGATGCGAGGTCGGGGCGGACACCCAGTAATTCCACGTCTGACGTCGCCAAGTAGTCGATTGTTTGCTTGGCTGTGTGCGACTAGGCGTTGTCGTGGTGAAGGAACATCCTAATAATGTCTCCTATCCGCTTTCGGCTACAGCAACCGTTTTTGACTCCTGTATATAAGTTTTACTGCTCCGCCCGTTCATGTGCTCGCAAGTGACTAGCGTAGCCGATCTTAGCAAGAAAAGTGCGAGCACACTTAGAGCAGGTGAGAACACCGTCGCAGTAATTATATTGTATAGTCGCAGGTGGTCGGGCTTTAAGTTCCTATCGTTTAGAATCTAGATCTTGTACGCGTTTGGCTTCGAAGGTGTTAATGTTTTGTCTCACAAGTCGCTTCCATTTTTGCCGGTCTTTAGCTAGGTACTCCCAAGAGGAGGGCTCGATGTTGCATTTTTTCATGTGCCTCTTTAATACATCCTTATATCTTAGGAGCTGCCCGCCTTGTTTGCGCTTGCCTTCTTGAAGCTCAGAGTACATGACGCGTTTTGCCACTCTGTTGTCAGCCATCCGAGAGACATGACCACACCAACGCAGTTGCCGTTGCATCAGGAGTGCCTCCATGCCACAGATGTTAGCTCGGCGTAGGACTTTCGTGTTCCTGACACGGTCGGGCCAACGTATACCCATGATATTACGGAGACATTGAATATGGAATCTATCCAGAATTCGTATGTGCCTCCGATACAAACACCAAGACGCAGAGGAATATAAAAGGTTTGGCAAAACAAACACCCTATAGACTGCTATCTTAGTGGGTAACCCGAGATCATGTGAACGGAAAACCTTGGATCTCAATTTTCCGAAAGCGGCTGATGTAGCAGTGCAGTAGCAGTAGTTGTGAAGTCGTTTCTCACGAGCTTTTTCCAAAACATGTGGCAAACCATTGTTAGTGTACCACTCTGCAGTAACTGTTTTTCGATCCTCTAAAACAATTGTTGCGTAATGACTTGTCCTTCCGAAGAACGAGACCACCATGTTTTTTCCACGCTTCGACCTCTCTTCACTTTAGTTGGCAACTCCTCGGAAGGAAACACCCAGAGACTGTCACTTAGTTTCCGGATCATAACAATAAATCCAGCTGTCGTCATCCTTAATTATGGCGAACACGCATTTGAGTCGCCTCCGTTAAATCTTTGAACCATTTCACGACACCAATCAATACGACGGAGTTTTTGAGCCTCTGTCAAATTATGAGGTGTTCACCGGGAACAAAGCTTCCTGACAGCTAAATGTACTCCATGTACCATGGATTTTGTGCACTTGACTCATTCTGATTCCTAAGATTGTCCGAATCTGCTGATAAGTCACTCTGTTGTTGTGTCTCTGTTTTTTCATATGCCGCACAACACTGTAACATCAGTTCAGAACACTGTAACGCAGATCATCAGTGAGATTAGTGAAACCACGTTTAAACACATTAAATCAGTTTAAACAGTGGCACAAGATGGGGCTTCATCGTGAAAGCCCAATCGAAGTATATCATAACTTTCTTGTTGACTTAAATGACATCGAAAGTCATAAAAAATCATTGTA